TGGAGTAGCTGTTCTTGGGGTGGGAAACTGGGAGAGAAAGTGGGGTCAGCAGATGGGGCTGAGACCCCGCTGCCGAGTTTTGGGGTGCAAGGGAGGGGGTGGGAAAGGGGTGAGGGGCTGCTCCCACCTTGGCCGAAGGCAGCGATGCTCCTCTTGAGGGCGTCCAGGTCGCAGGAGAAGCGGGCGACCCGGCCCAGCTCCTCGTCGTACTTGCGCTCGCTCACAAAGTGCTGCTCAGAAAGGGCAAAAACGGGCAGGTTTGGTAACTCAGGCTGCACCCAGGGACAGCAAATGGAGTGTAGGGGGAGGGGGGAAAGCCCCTGGTTTGGGGTCTCTGAGCTGTGCACTCCTTGGGGAAAAACAACAACCCCTTTTGTGAAATTCTTCCCTGAGAGGGTGGGGAGACCCTGGAACAGGGGAGCTGTGGCTGCCCCATCCCTGGGGGTGTCCAAGGGCAGGTTGGATGGGGCTTGGAGCAGCCTGGGCTGCTGGGAGGTGTCCCTGTCCATGCAGGGGGGTTGGATCTGGATGATTTTTAATGCTCTTCCAAACCAGCCTGTGATTCCATTAAATCAGTTGGGGGGGGTCTGGCTGCTGAGGGGGCTCCGGGTCCCTGCCCTGCTGGGAGGAGGAGCCTTCATTTCCCACCAGGATTTCACTGGATGCAACTTGGCCCTGACCTCCCATGTCAGGAGCCCTGGGAGCAGCAGTTTTAGGGAATGCTGAAGTCCCTCTGGCTCTGCTGGGGTCACAGGGAGGTTTTCCCAGTGCTCAGAGTCCCGAGCTGAGGCCTCACGGGGTCAGTGCTGGGATCAGCAGCTGCTGGTGGCTCCAGCTGCCACTTTACAAAGCAAATTAATCCAAATCAAGATGCAGGGGGGGCTGGGCTGTGTCCCCCCACGAGGCTGGTGGTGAATTCCAGAGCTATGGACACAGGGAGAGAGTTGCAGCCAGCACAGCACTGCCCTGGGATGTGCAGGGAACTTGGAAGGGTTGGGAATTATCAGGACTAAGAACCTTGCTCAGCACCAGGAGCTGCAACCTGAGGCTGCAAGAGGGAATTTTCTGATCACACCAAAGCTGCAAAACCCAGAACTTGCTGAATCCAGCAGGGACGAGGGGAATGAAGAAGACAAGGATCATGGAAACAACTCCAGGAGAATGGAGTCACTCCAGAGAGTGACCAGCCAAGAAAACCAGTAAGAAACCAAGAGACCACAGATCAGAACTAAGGGATTAGCTCTGGGATGGGGTGTTGGGTGTCATTGGGGTGTGTGACCTAGGGGAGGGGTCCCTCCCCCACCCCGAGCTCCACCTGCTCTGCTTTGTTGGATCAACAAACCACTTATTTGCTCAGCAACTCGTCTCCCTTGAGCAGGAAACGAGGGCCGGGCCTGCTGAGCTGCAATTCCCACCCTGGACCAGGTGGTGGCCCTGAAATTCCTGCAACGCCCGAAGGTTTGGGAGAGGCTGGAAGGCGGGAGGGGAGAGGGAGCAGCTCACCTTGATGTCAGCTCTCAGCTCCACCAGCTGCTCCTCCGACATCCTCACGGCCACGTCTGTCAGCTTCTTCAGGGCCTCTGCCTTCCTCTGCCGGCCCAGCAGGATTTCCACTGGGAAAAGGGAGGCAGCTCAGGCACCAAACCCACCCCCCCAGTCACCCCCAGCCTGGTGAACAGCTCCCCCCACCCCTTGTGTCCCCCCAACTCCTCCTGCAGCCACTGCCACCCCCAGACCCAGGATGAGGGGCACCAGGCTCTGCTGCTCCCCCCCCAGGCTGCACCCCCAGGCTGGGTGCTGCTGCCATGGGTGTCCCCAGGGATCCCTTCCCACCCACGCCAGGAGAACTGAGAGAGCCCTTTCCAGCCCCTGGGAATGCTGAGGGTTCCAGGAATGGCTTCCCACGATGGCAGGAGGCAGCTGATGTCCCCACCCAGGGCAGGGGATGTGTCACCCCCAGCACATTCCAGTGGGGATGTGAGGGATTGACTCCAGCCACAGGGTGAGTTTTATCTGGGAATCAAAGCCAGGGATTTCAGGACAACGTGAACAGGAGGAAAATGACAGGAATCTGCTCCTGGGGGGGATGTTTGGCAGCAACACCCACAGCTCTTCCCACCTGTGGGTCCAAAGCCCCGAGTCTTACTTGCTTCTGCCTTCACTTTGTCCATCTCAGCCAGCAACGCCACTTCCCGATCCATGAGGCTGGGGAGGGGGTTGGAAAACAGGGAAAAACGACATTATTAAACAAAGAAGAGAATGAAACCCGGGAGCGGGAGCAGCAGGGGAGGGTTTCCCGGGCCGGGCAGAGACCAGCAGAGGGCGGCAAGAGCCCAGGGCGCCGGCCCGGCTTTTGTTCTGGAAACGCAGGAGTTGTGGAATCGGCTTCGTGGAAACGGCCGAGGCTCGGGTCCCATCGCCAGCAGGGTCCCCAGCCCCTGTCCC